TTCAGTCGTCTCGCCGAGATAGCCTTTAGTAGTTATTACTCCTTACTTCTCTTTTAGATCTCAGTTAGTTCACAATGGGAGTTAGCATCTTAGGCTCTTCAACTGTATTCTTGATAGTATCCTCTAACAGTATTCACCGTAGTTATTATTAACCGTAGTGTTCTTCTTTCCTTGATTGCAATAGGATTTACATAGTACAGACTCTTTTCGTGTAATTCTTTCTAGTATGTATTTGTCAGTATTCTTTATGTAATGTTTATTCAGGCGACATGAAGAAGCTTGTCAGCCGAGGCCGCATGTTTGCATCTAACTTCAGTCTACAGCCGCGCACACGCCGCCATCAAATCTCGCCTAGTCGATCCATTCGTGTCATCTTGGATCCTCTTCTTGTTCACTTGGCAGATCGACATCCTTCGCACTACTAGGCAATCAGCACGCGCCAGCACGCTTATGCCCTTGGGCACAGGGAAGCAAGGCCTCTTGTCAACCCGCTGGCAGGCATCAAGGACTTCGGTCAACAAGCATTCTTCGTTGCACGCATCTTCCCTTCAGAGGTGTTGTGGGCACCCACCGGAATCCCACGTTTTTGCCGTGTCTCGTCGGATTCGCCGATGCGTCTTACTCCACTGATCCGCCTGGCACGACACACTCTCCATCTTAGTGCAATCTCACATTTTTGGAGGTTTTTTTGTGTAATGAAACTTTTCAGGAGCCTCCATCATAAAGGAGAGTTCACCAATTCCTCTCTACTGCTAGAACTCGAACGTTTTACCATATTCTTGTTTTCTCAAAGCAAAGCAAAACTGCACCCTTGAATGTTGAGCATCGGATCTGCCCACAAAAGGTCCATAGCAAGTGGATTGCTGTTTGGTTCGTCCATAGGCCGTTGAATCTGTGGATAAACATTTCAAATATCAGATCAAAAATATACTTTTGCATGGTAAAATTCAGGACCAGAATCTAGTTTTCGCATTTTTTTCGGGTTGAAAATGCATGTAATCGACGGCTGATCCATTAACTACAAGTCTCGGAAGGACTAGTCGTGGGGATGGAGGGGGGATAGGGGAGGGGGGGGGGGGGACCATTTATCTCAAGCAGCATACATCGTTAGAAGCTCGGCAACTACGGGCTGCCCATCCTACGATCTAAATGCCTCGCGATGCCGGGATCACTGAAGGGTGAGAATGCTAACGCGTCGAATTCGGTGTCCCCTTATCTCAAGGCTTTTTCTCAGAGGCACTGGGGAGCAGCACCGGGAACTTTTAACAATGTCTTGGGAATTCGTTTTCGGGGGGGGGGGATTAAATCCGATAGAATTCCACAAGTCCACACCTGCCGTCTTTGCAGACATAGCAGTACACTTTGCAAAGGCACGCTCCGTGATTAGGCGCGCTCGTCTGTTCTATCCCTGGGGTAGTAGACAGGCGGACAAGCGTTGATATGGCGCCCCTTTTGTCTCGCTCGAAAGTGCGCCACAAAGGCGCAAGGAACTTGTCCGACCCGCAACTCAAACCTTCGTCCGCAGACCCTACCCTCCGCTGTCGTTTGCCAGGCGCCCTGCTTGGAAAGCGCGGTCACATTTGAAGCAGCAGTCCCATTGGCCATCCAATGTTATTGGCACTGGAGCAAGTAGAGTTAGGTTCGTGAAACTCGTCCAACGCGCCTCTTCTCTATCCCAAGGTGGAATGTGGCTGAAATAGGGGAGGTCTCTGTACGGGGCGTAATCGGTGGTTTCGTTTGCTTTCCTTCTCTTTTACAGACCACCTCCCACCTATAGCTTCATAACTGAACGCTTTTCCACACCTATTTTATCCCGAATTTTGCCCTTAGCAGCATCAAAAAGCACAGATGATGTCGTTTTGGCGGCCACTTGTACTAGCGAGCACGCAATTACAGAGAACTGGCTTCTCGCTTTCTTGGTCATGTAATTATATCGACTGTGTTGCTGGCAGAGTTCCACAAGGGTCATGAATCCTTCCAATAGTAGCAGTAAGATACCTTCCGTATATCTTCGAGTGAGTTCAGGTATGCTGATATTCCTCCATGCATGCAGAGAATTTTCTTGCCAACAAGTCCAGCTAAAGGCAGCCACGCGAACACCTCGTTAAAGCCGAACCACAATCTCTCAGCTTCATCCTTAAAATAAAATGAAATAATACCGCAGCAACGAGGGAACGATGGCTAACGAACCTTTTCAAAACGGTCAAGTAGTTCATCGTAAAATCCATATACACGATTTATACCTTTGCATTCGTGATTGCCTCGCAGTAGTTGATACTGTAAAGCCAAACTGATCAGTCCCAGTTAAAAACCTATCACGCCACGCGTACGTGCGCTTGAGTATTTAGCTCTCAAAAGTAGCTGACGGAAGTCAGCTACAAGTGCAAGTTAGGCCGGTGTCAGACTTCGCAAAACCGTGGATTCTCTAGCGAATCGCGGGGGACGAGCGATGCAACAGCAGTTCAAACGATGTGCCAGCAGATCGAGCAATGCACCAGTGATTCGAAAGGTGTACTAGTGACTTGACAGTGTTTGAAAGTGGCAGAAGACTTTCTCGGTAGCACCTTGACTCTCGCCACTTTCCCTGCCTCACGAGGGCATAGAGAGCGAGGGGGCTAGGGAAGGTGGCGAGCGAACATGCGATCTAGTGGGAGTTCCAATACATCCAAATTCGTTCGTTGATGCTACAAAAAAAACATCGATTTAACCGCTGGGGCATAGTTCGGTCCGCTGGCTTATCGTTCGGACCTTTGGTGCATCGCTCGTACCCCGTGGTTCTCTAGCAGGTCCACGGATTCGCAAAGTCTGACACCGGCCTGAGGCTTTTCATCATCAGGAAATAGTCTGGTTGTGAATAACGATAAAGGAGAATGGAAACTCAGAAATTATTGAGCGGACACAACCCTTCAATAGGGACCAGGGTTAAGCCGTAACGATTCCGAAATCCAAAATCTTGGCGACTCTTCCTCTTTAGAGGCGTTTCGTTGCGACCCTCCACCACCATCGTGAGGCTTGGGAGGCTCCTTAGTACAATCCCCTCCTCCTCCCTACCCCGACTGTACCGAAACTCTAAACCCCATCATGACGTTTCTTATAGATAGGTCTGAATACCATCAACTCTGCCCACTTTTCCCTCCGAAACGGCCGTCGAGCGGGGAAATGGTAAATTGGTGTAATGAAGCTGCAAATCCACCAATTCTATCTCCTTCACACTACTTACCTAGAACTTCCACCATCCTTCGAAAATCTCGCCCAAATAGCAACCAACAACCTCTACTCCCACCACGACAGCCTTAGTCAACTCCAAAATGCGACCCCTCTTCCCAAAATCAAAAATGCGACCCACTTGTTCGAGTAGTGCGGATGGACGGTTGACCCTCCTAGGAACACTTATCACTTTCCAGAGACCCTCACGTGGAAAAATGGGTAACAACCTTGTTGGTGAGCTGATTTGAGAAAACAGTTCTTTCATGAGAAGTTAGCTGCGCTTCTGCATGGAGATCGTCTAGAATGGCCTGACCATAAAAATATTCTCTCGAGGTACGACAGACCGTACCAGGGTAGCGCAGGTAAAGCGCTAGCCGCGATGGAGTTCTATCAGAACAATGTGGAACTTACTTTACGAGGAAACAATATTTTCAGGGTTAGTACGAGGCAAACGCACTCAAGCGATCGTCGTCCACGATCTACATATCACCAAGAAAGATGTACTGAAAATGGTGGTTTGTTGTGATCTGCAACTAACAAGCCAGGGTCAACCCTGCGTTGCGCAAATTCCCAAAATTTTTACGACCCCCTTCCTTTTCGGGGGTATCGGTACGACCCCCCATATTAACTATCATGTCTTTCACATAATTTAATGCTCATCAATGCTCATCAATGATGGCAGTCACCAACATGGAGAAGTGGTGGACCGTGGTCAATCCGCGCGCTCTGTCTCGCTCAGAGGAGGAATCGAGGCAAATGAAGTTTTATTCATTAAATAGAAGGAATTTCCAAATTTTTGCGTAAACCAATACATCATTTTAATCGTAAAGATTTCTACTTTCAGAAACCACCAGGATTTTTTCGATCTCTCAACTTTCCTTACCTTATAATCTGAAAAACTAAACCTTGTAGCAATTACATTGCAATCCAAACCCCTCCATTCAGAAGGTTATATTTTCTTTCAGAAGCTGTTTCATGAAATCGGACACCAAAATTTTGAAAATATAAATAGTTTTCTTCCTGAGGAGTATTTGAAATGTTGTGGATGTTCAATATTTCAAAAAATCGTCCCGTTGTTCCGTTTTCTGTGCACACGCGAGTTTTTGACATTCAAACATTCATAACTTTCTTCATAATCAACTTTTTGCAAATGTCTAAGGCTAATTAGAAACTAGAAGATTAGAGCTTTCGAACAAGCACCTGAAAATTTTCCAGCGATCATTTTTTCAAAAAATAGTCCCGTTGTTCCGTTTATTGGGTGGTTTGGGGTCCGATTTTTGAGAAGGCGCGAGTTTTCGACATTCAAACGTTAATAACTTTCTTCATACTCAACATTTTGCAGATGTCTAAGGCTAATTAGAAACTAGAGGATTAGAGCTTTCGAATAAGTGCTAAAACTTCTTGAAATAATCACTCGCTCAAAAAATAGTCCCGTTGTTCCGTCAATTCCACCTTGATTTTTTTCAAGCCATTTTCCTGGACCGCGACTATGCAGTCTTTAAAGGCCCATAACTTCCTTTGAAATTAATGTGATGAGAAGCGGTAAAGATTGTTGGAATCCACTCGAAGAGTACTTCATAACAACTGTGAAATTTCCCTGAAATTCTTTCTTCTGCCTCAATTTTCCTACGGCGTCTCTAGAACTCAATTCAGCAAATTCGCTACACTTTGTTTCGCTTAGATTTTATTTGAAAGCATCGAAACTCTCTTCAGAAAGTTTGTCTGCTTACGGCCGCTGACAGAGGAGGCGTTTTTATGGAAAACGCCTGCTCGGGTATACGCCGTGCACCTATCTGTGGGCAGAATTCGCACTCGCATTTGAAAGTCTTCTGTTTTCCTGAAGAAGGTGTTAGTATCCTGATTGAGTTGTATTGTGCTGTTATATGGCACTCTTGTTTCACTTTCCCATGAACTGCTCTACACTTTGTTCTCCTCGGGATTTCAGGAATGTTTCATCATCGAAGACAGACCATGTTTTTGCACTACACTGTAACAAAGTTTTTGGCTATTGTCTATTGTACTCTTGATCTATGCCGCGGAGCAAAAGCGCCGTCCGGATAGCGTCGCTTAAGGATAATAAGCTGATGGTGAGACTTATAGTGCTCTGCATGCTTTAATGCTCCCATGGAGCTCATGTCTGTGTGACTCTCCGACAGCGTGCAGAGCTCCTGGAGAACATTAGAGGCTGAAAGTGCACACTCCCGGACACTGCACTTTTCAAGCCGTCTTGCAGCCCGTTTGTGGATACGACCCCCTCCCTTTTCGGTCGGCTGAATACGACCCCCTCGTTGTTCTTTGCGCAACGCAGGGTTGACCCTGCTAAACAAGTGTACAAACTCATACCTTAACGCGCATGCTTCCATGCTGATTTCCTTCGGAGAATTTGCTGAACATCCGCAATAGGTCAAAGTACTGAAAGTATCACGAATAGTTTATTCGTTTTCCCATATGTGAAGTACTTATCATGTAGCGGCCTTGCATGAATGAGGGGGCGGCTCAATACGGTGCTAACACAAGGGGAGGAGTGGTTCAGGGCAAGCCACGCTTTATCAAAACGGCTCCCTGCATATTGTAATGGCTCATGTAGAGAACACAGAACCATGTCTTTCTCGCTGAAGGGTTCAGAAGTGCCAGAAAAGAAGTATAAGGTAGTGTTAACCTTTGATGGCTCGATCCCCGTGGCGACTAAACTTTGTTTTTAGGTTGACGCCTACGCGGGTTGTTGCCAAGTGCCGAAGCTAAATGCCGAAATCAGGTGTCATAATCATCGTCAGGACCACTTTGAAGCCAACAAGTGACCTCCAAACTTGACTGTAAAATTTAGTCGCCGCG